TCTCAAGACGACTCGTGCCAATCTGGCCTGCAGACGCTCAAGCACCACCGCTTGGGATGCGGACAGTTGGAAATGCCACAGTGGCGAGGCGTATTCAATGGTGGGTCGGACATAACCAGTATAAAGCCGGTTTGTAACTTCCGGCGTTAGGCGGCTCGACATGTGGGCAAGTAGTACCACGCGTTGGCGAAATTTGGTGGTGATTGTTTCGATGTGGCACTGGAAGTTGAGGTGGCTATCAATTTGCACGCCAAGATGTCGGTGTGTGTCGACCGTGCGCACTTCTTCCTGGTTCATTCGCATGTGCCCGATGTTTGGAGGGTCCGTCCGTTGGTACGTGGGGAGAACGTCATTTGGAAGGACTTCGTGGGGTTAAAGCGTCCACCTGCCGAGTCGGCCCATTTCAGGGCGGCATCCGTGGCAACTTGGAGTGGGTGACTATGATGCTGGGAACAGGGAGTGGTAGGTGCAGCGACTTCCGTTCCAATGGTCGTGTGCCGAGTCGGCCCATTTCAGGGCGGCATCCGTGGCAACTTGGAGTGGGTGACTATGATGCTGGGAAGAGGGAGTGGTAGGTGCAGCGACTTCCGTTCCAATGGTCGTGTCATCGGCGAAGAGAAGAACTTGACAGTGGTCCTCATCTGGGATGGTCTGCGGGAGAGAGTTGATGTACAGAAGGAACAGGATAGGGCCGAGATGGGATCCTTGTGGTACGCCAGCGGCTATAGGGTGGGTTGTGGATACGGAGGAAGTGACTTTGACCGTGAATTGCCGGTCACCAAGGTAACTGGAGAACCACGAAAGTGCGTTCTGGGTTGCAAACGTGCCCAGATGGTAGAGGAGGACTGGATGCGGCACTTTGTCGAACGCCTTAGCGAAGTCCAGGAACAGGGTGTGGTAGGTGCTCCGTTTGATGATGGTCTTCTACTTTTGTGGAATTGGAACTATACGGCGGATCTTTCATAGTTAACTCCTTACGTGGAAGCTCCTCCAGCAACATGCATGTATGGGGGGGGGGAGCCTACACCAATGTGCATTTTCAGTGTGATAAGTATTTCATGGATGATCATGATAAATATTATTATCATTGGCATCTGACTGAGCGACATTCATTTGTAGCATCATTGCTTGACCGAGACGGATGGTCATCGCCCAATCACATCAGCACATCAGCACATCAGCACATCAGGATTCAACAAGGAATACCATAGTGCATGTAGATTAAACACAGGCCATTGATTTTACATGTACATAATGTACATCCGATGATCTGCGTGCTGCACATACGATACCAGCTAGGCCAGGGAGTTGCAATTGTTCAACGATAGCTGCTGGAGACCTCAGCTACCCCTACCTCAGAGATGCTGACGTGCATTAATGGTGTAGGATGCTGCAAGTGCTGGCAAATCGGCATCAGTTGTTGCCAGCACTCCAGGACATGGCGTCGCAGCTTCTAACTACACTGTCATACTTCACCAAGTAGAGTTAGTTATTTCTCTCTCTTCAAAGCAACACGCTGTGTAAAGTACGGTAGATCTGTGTTTGTGCGAGGCAGTCACATGCACTGCAATAATATTATATCAAGCCATCACAGCGTTCTGCCGGAATTTGACTGCATGATTGAGGTTTTGGTTCAGAGAGTGCACAGCCCACACATACATCGGCCCATTCGGGTTAAGTCAGGGTGTGTGGTTGCACGCTGACCCACGCGTTTCAATGGAATGGATGTGTATTGCTAAACATGTATATGGCTGTGTAAATCAACCGCATTTCGAGACTGGTCAACGACATGGACTCCTCCTACGACTAACAGTTGGGACTAGGAGTAAGGTTTTGACATGATTGTAGCAATAGTATTGTAGACTTCAGCGGTGGACTGCGTAGGTGCAGTCGCGGTGGCGCTCTCGCTGAGCTACGGCTGCAATGTTCACAAACTCACTGATGGCAAGTGGTTACTTGGTGGGTGGCGGTGTGAACAAAGATGTTGTCAGCGATGACGAGAAGTAAACACACGACAGCATACTTCAATGGCATAGAACGGACTCTGATGCTCTGCGGAGTTTGTACGGCCAAGGAATTAGGTCCACGTAGAACGTCACTCTTCAGCGCGGATTAATCTGCATGTCATGTGTCAAACACAAACTAAGATTCGGGCCCTAGCCATGCGCATACAGCATGCCATAGGCAGCTCCAACATTCCAAAGGAAACGACGGAGTCTGTGGACCCGGCTATCAATATGCGAAGGAAAAATGTACCACATGAGTACAGTTGGCCTTTTCTGTTTTCATTGACATTACCATGATTAATTTACAGTCCCAGGAATAGCCTGCTCACGTTTCTGGATGTGCTCCGTACCAGAGAAATAATAATATAAATAATAATAAAACAGGTCGCGTAATGAAGCAGCATAACGATAGATGTGCAAAGTCATGATGCCTGGTCCGCTTCTGTCCTGGGACAGGCTGGGTTCACTTCCAGAGAAATACATGTACAAAAAATATCACGGTTCGCGTGAGACTCGGCTGGAAACCGAGTTTTCCGCATCCGTAGGAACGCCACCACCCTTCAAGGATCAAGGCGCAGATGAAGCTCCTAAACTTAAGGCTAAAGGCGTAAAGCGGTGAGAGGTGAGTAGATCATCTCACCAGCAAGTGGTCAAAGACCGGAAATCCCATTCACTGCATCCATGTTCTCCTCGTGCCAGGCCACGAGTTCCCAGTGGGTCACAGCACGGCTGGAAAGAATCCTTCCGCTTCCAAGCAGGACTTGAACCTGTTACCCTCTGTTTCTCAATCATGGTCTTAGACAATACAATATGTATGAACTAATTTTGCGGTCTAAAACCATTGACTATGTGAACAATACACTTTATCGTGTAGGCTATGCCTAAGGCTAAGGCTCGTGTGCGAATGTAACGCGTGTAGAATCTACATTCTACATGGTGTACTCTGACTGTGTTTATGACTGTTATCGCGGACCATGTAGACCTAGCCTACCAAGTACCAGTGTAACACTAACACAATTACAACAGGTTGTTGTCCATGTAGATCTACTGTGCACTGTACTGGCGAGCTCCGTGTTTGGCGTTTATCATGTTTATGGTTGACACGTTCACACTGCTCTGCGCAAGATCTGACGCCAGTGACGGGGATCGTGTCATTTAGATTAGATCTACATGCGGGGGCATAGCGATGGTCCGATGACTAGCCGTTCGGGAGAGATTGCAAAAACTGAGGCAGTACAGTCAGTACAGTAGACCTACGACAGTAGGCTTCTCGCATTCTAGTAGTAGGCCATAGGCTCTACGAAATGTCTGACTGCTCGACGGAGGGGCCCATGGCCATGCCATGCTATGTCAGGTGACAGTCTACCCACCCGCACGAGATCAAGAAGCGTAGGTAGGTGTCAATTTCAGGTTTACTGCCAGGCCCAAAAACACCAAACCCAAGCCAAGGTCTCCGCTTCTAATTCTACCCTCGACGAGGCATTCAACGATCGACAGCACATTTACCGAATTTTCGTGCTACATTGCTCGAGGGTGGTGATAGAGGATTTCTCCCGGCAGATCCAGGCCCCATGGTATGACGGGAGGAGAGAGATAAAAAAAGCGTGCGCTGATGATTTGTGCAGTACTAAAACTGGGAAGTAAGTTTGTTGTGTGGCAATTATTTCAATTTTCAGCAGATTTGCAGGTCAAGGAGGCGAAACCAAAGTACAAGTGCGCGGAGTTTGTTTTTGTACAACCTGGCCAAATGAAGTAAGACAGTTGGTGCTTGGAACTTACCGGCTGTATTTTCACAACAGCTAGGTTGGCAGTGAAAATGTTCCAAGCATGGAATTATTTGATGGGGAAGGACGAGGAGCAGGATGAGACGGCTAGCGGGCAGGCCGACGTCAACGTTGAAGCTGTTTTGGAGAGCTCGGCTGATGGGCCAAACGGTGCCCAAGCTGATGCCAGCGGCGGCAAAGCGAAAGGGAAATTTCACATCGCTGCGCTAAGGAGCTTAAAAACCGCCGAGTCGACCATTGACGGAAGGGTAAGCTCAAGATGCTGTTGGCAATTTGTTTCTGGAGGTTGTTGTGTGTAAACAGTGGAGGATAGTAAGCGTGACCGTCAACCTGGGAGCGCATTGTTAGCGGTACTATCACAAATTTGCCGCATTGCTTTCCCGGAGTGCACATCAGTAATGCCATGCTGCGTAACTGGCTTTGGAGGACTATCTGTCTATCACGTCAGTTCATTAGAAAACAGAAGTACGAAAAGTGCACCAGCACACATACTGTACTGTCTGTAGTTGCACTTTACCACAACACAGTCTGTCCTTTGGCGACGTGTGCACAAGAGAAAAGTGACTTTTTCTAGCTCTGCAATGACCATGATTCATCAGTGACTCTATTTATTCATGTTCTTGGCGGACTGGATAATTTGATCATTGGAGGAGAAAACTGCGCGCAGGCGAGCTGAGAAATCCATGCACACTAGTATAGTCAGAGGATGAAAAGAACAGGTTGCTGAGATTAGAGAATAACTACTTACTGGCTGTCAGTGTCATTATCTACTTGCCAGTAAGTGGAAATACACATAGACATACTCACTTGATGGTTTGAGTTTGGGACAGCCTTGGCTTACAAAGACCACAGTTACAGGACACATGCCCATGCTGTGTTGGCATTAGAACAATGGCAATGAATCCAAGTACTTGATGATCAGCTGAGTGGTTAGGACTCTAGGCAGTCACCACGTTCCCCAGGGTGCATCTAACACTGGCACTAGTGCTAGAAGTGGTAGGGGAAAAAGAGAATGATCTTTTTGAGCATCAGGGAACACACTACACATGTTGTGCACTCAAGTACTTGAAATATCACCAGCAGGCACTTGAAAGTGTGAACGAAGTGTCACCTGTGGAAGAGTGGCAAGGATGATAGCAAGAGCATGCATCATGTTCTAGTAGGATTGCCTCCTGGTCCACCAATGCCAGCCTTGGCAAAGAATATCCCGCTGGGCTCTGGCTCAGTCAAAACAAGATGTTCAGGACTGTTCTGTGACTATTTGTAGAACTAGACACAGGCACAGCACACCCAAGACTGTGAGCCTCCCAGTGTGTACATGTAGGTGCAGGGAGAAAGGAGGTTTCAAAGTTGGTGCGGGTAGCATTCCGAATTTGCAGCTCGGGAGGTGGAGTGTACAGAGTTAGTTTTCTTTCGTACAACCCTGGCCAAATGAAACAATTTCCATGGTGTCAGGACTTGCAGGCCATAGTTCACAACATCTAGGTTGGTGAAAATGTTCCAAGCTTGGAATTACTTGATCGGCAAGGATGAGAGTCAGGATGGAACTGCTATCGGTGTCGCCTATGACAAGGATACAGCTGTTGCCTATGGCAAGGATACAGCTGTTTTGGAGAGTTCAGTTGATGGTAGTGACAGTCCTGATGTGCGACTTGATGCCAACGCCAGTAAGGCAAAAGGAAGGTTTCACATTGCAGCACTCAAGAGCATGAGGACCGAGTCTGGCATTAGGGAAAAGGTAAGCTTATGAGCCCACTCGGGTTTGGTTTTGTCACACGTACCCAGCGAATCCATGAAATGCACCTATCTGGGCTCTAAATTTGGAAAAATTGTCAGAGGGACAGAGTAAATTGTACTTCAGATGGCTCACCATACCACTGTAAAATACCTTCCCGATGTCACTGCGATACCAACGTTCTCCTATGGGTGTGTGTGTGTGTGTGTGTGTGTGTGTGTGTGTGTGTGTGTGTGTGTGTGTGTGTGTGTGTGTGTGTGGAACCACAAATTGGCCGCATTGAGTCTGTGTGTGCAATGCTAGGTGTAGCTCTTGGAGTTTGTGTTTCAAATTGCAAGCAGTTAAATTACACGTATTGGTCGTGCACCACTCCGGCACACTGTAGATAAGGTGACCACCCATTACACCACAACGTGCCTTGTCCTTTGGCATGTTTGTACGTGGGAGAAGCGAATATGTCTGGTCCGGCAACCACCGCAAATCCCACCACAACCACCACCACCACTACCACCACCACCACCACCTCCACCAAAGAATGACTTGATCCACTTGAGGTTCACACGACACTATAAGTTCTAGCATGTGTTGTCTGAAAAGAAGTATTGAAATCTCGATTGAAGACATTGGAAGTGTGATGGAAGTGCCACCTGCTGAAGCATTGACAGTGGCATGGATCCTGGATCATGGTGTATGGCAATGGCCTCTGCTGGTATCATTCTTTGCACAGCTTGATACCTTCAACCCGAACTCTTCACTACAGTGTGCTTGATGAAAATCTGTAGCAGGGGCGTCGGAAACGCTACGGTCACTACGGTATTGACCGTACCACTCTTTGTCCCAGGCACCCCATGAATCAATCAAATGCACTGATTTGGGCTCTGAGTTTCGAAAAAATTCCGGCAAAGGCGCCACCCCAACCCCATGAGTAAATTGTACAGGTCGCTGATTGTACCACCCTAAAATATCTTCCCATGCCCCTGTGTACACTGGGTACACTGTGTACCCAGTGTACCCAGTGTACACTGTGTACACTGTGTACACTGGGTACATGGCCGAATGCTGCTGCTGCTGCTGCTGCTGCTTACCCGTGGTGACGCACATTGAAGCGCATGTCTCTATATCCGAGCATAAGCACACCCTCACATACATTAAATTTTGTATAAGTGCATGGGCTTGTAAGTGCATGGGCTTGTAAGTGAGCCCAATCCCGCGGCACACTGGCGCCACCATGATGCCATCTTCACAGGATTTTATGTTCAATTTCCTAATTCCATACTTGAAACTCGATTACAAGCGTATGCACATACAATGTATTATGTGAGACCAATCGACCTTCAGCAAATTTCGAATATGCCAAAAAATCACTTACAAACGCATGGCCTTAAATGTGGGTCACTACCGTACCCTTTATTTTTTGTGAAAGCGCCAGACCAGCTGATGTTGTGAAAGGGAGCCAATCAGCCTCCGGTGTACAGTGAGACAAGTAACTTACTTTCATGTCGAACTTTGATTGTACTCCGAACCGGTCAGTTTTTACTACTACACGTACAGTAGGATATCTATACATTGTATACCCTCAAGGACGTCATCATCTCAATCAGTTTTCACCACAGTCATGCACTTGACAAGAGGCTAGAAGCTCCAAGCATCACATCCGGTTCATTGCCCTAGAGTGGCCTCTCTAAAGTTAGAAGTGACCTGTACGTATCCCGGCTTATGATGATCCTGCCAGTCCGGGTTCCTCAGGGTTCCTCAAGTCGGGGCTGTAGAATTTTCTTCAGATCTGCAGATTATGCCAACATTGCATTTTGCAGCAAAAGTAGGATATGAAATGGCAGGAGGTTTCCTGAGCAGCTACAGTTTCTGTTGAGGCTTCTTGTGGGTCTTGAATGCCCACAGGTTCTCTACGGGCAGGCATTACCATACTGCAATAGGTCTAATGGAGACACTGCGGGAGACAATCCAACATCATTTTCTGGCATTTTGTTAGAGCTGCTCAGCTGGTCTATTGTCTTGGTCACTCTTTTCCATGAGCTTCTGTTGTGGGCTCTCACTCTATGAACACACAAAGTGTGTGAGTCTTCAGAATGGCAAACTTTACAGCAAACTAATCATGCCATAATTGTAAGAGCCACATATCCAGCAATATACCACAATCACCATGGAAACGGAATAGGTAACCTACATGTATCATCCGACCCTAAATTTCCAGTGACCGTTCTGAATTGAGTAAAAGATAAAATGTGCTGCCAAGTGGAAGGTGCGACGTGCTCCTCGTGTGCTCCGGATGGCAGTCGAGAGTCAGTCAAGTGTCAAGTTCGGCAAGAAGCGTGTGTTTCTCATTGGCACAACCAACTTGATAAAATGTGCCTTCGAAACAATTTTTTAACTTCTGTTGTTTTCCATTTAAACCCTTTGCACTGCAGCGCAGTTCGTTAAGCAATGCAAACCTCATGGAAGCCGATCCAGAGCTATGCGTCAGCTTGTTTCGCCGCTCCACCAGCTTCACAGCACTGCACAAGCGCTTGATGAATGCGAGCCCCGAGTGGATTGTCAGCTTTCTGGAGAGCGAAGGCTTGGAGGTGAGTGCCTGTAGCGGTTATTTATTGTCATGGCGTGCTGGGAGCAACATTGTTTTTTGCATTATTAATTAAAACCTTCTCCATACGGTACTTTTAATTAATGAGCCGAGCCAAGCAAAAAGGTGGCTTAGGCATAATTTTTGGAAAATTCTTTTTTCATACCAAAGTGATATCTATCCAACTTCCATCATGGAAATTTTGGTGCCCATCTGAAATTTATATGTGTCATAAATAAGCATACATTGTGCACATGCCACAGAATGCCTTATCAATGACACCAAGTATGTGAAAACCTGCCTGAACTCCAAAATATGGGACACCAAGTGGAGACAAAGCTTAGCACATGTGCATGCAATACAAGACGAACGAGCACTTATGTTCCAATAAGAAGATCCAAGAAAGAAGAAAAAACTGATCTAACTGTTATGTGTCTCATGTAATTTCATTACGCAACACGGATTTTCATTTCCTTCAATGATGTTGTGACTATATTTTCGCTGGACTGGGAAACATCGCATCTTACCAAGACAATCCGTCATACTCTCTCCAATCACCTATGCCAGCATGAATTAATCCTTTCATGTAGCTCGTAGTGTTGTGCCAGAGATCGAACTCCATTGGCGTCTTGCCCCGCTCTAGTAATGGTTCATAAATCCGCCCAGTCCACATTCCTTCTCCGTTTCTCTCCGTTTTTCTTTCCTTCCAGTTGCATCTTCCTTTCTGATCTGTTTTACTTTCTCTTTTCGTTCGTCCCTCTTGATATAAATTTTGTACTTTGTACTGTCGAGGCAACGAACTGAAATAATAAAAACCAAACCAAAACCAAACCATTGGTGTAATGCCCTTGCACCTACCGTAGGTCCAGCAGACTGCACATCGCTGAAAAGCGGGACTGGTTCTTTGTGCGTCCTAGTCCACGTCATTCTCCTTCCCTGGCAAGGATAGTGGTAGAAGGCGCCATGGGATGATATGCTACCAGGTAGAGTCAATGCATCGCTTCGTCGTGTGGCACTATTTCCTTGAAATGAGGAAATTTTGGAATTCGGTACGCCACGTCATGAACACTTGAAGGTTCTAGTAGCCGAAACAAGGTGAAACATCGCAGCAAGAGTGAACTCACTAGGCAGCTTGTCAGAATGATAGTCGCAAGGCGTCTAGACGTTTCCCCACAGCTACATGCATACTAGCCGCTCTAGCCGTGGCCACGATGTGAAACACAGCCACTATGAATGAGTGGGTCTTCTTCAACCAGTGGGGTTGGGCGCACACAGAGACAGAATGTCATCCTGCTCACCTCCACATTCTCTAGAACGCTCCATTACGATCTCTGGCAGCGCGGAGACATCCCCACAACGACGAAAGAGTAAACACTGAAGAAGTGTTGCTCAAAAACAAAAGGCCTCTTTCTTCTTCTTCTTGCAAACTTGAAAGTGAAATATTTTCGCGATTGCGCTTGAGTAGAACTTCACGAACTGTGACATTTTTGGTGATTTTCTCGATTGTTGGCAAAATGCTCGGCGCTCGGCGCGGCTCGAATAACTATACCGTAATATGTATCTATTATTAACCGATTAAAGAGGTCAATATATGAAATAAAAACCGAGTAAAAGACCGAGGTCCCCCGAGGTCTTTTACGAGGTTTTTATTTCATATATTGACCGACTATGAGGTTAATAATAGATTTATCACGACTTGCCTTACTCGAACCGTTCTCCTCAGCTTCTTCTTCAGCTTCATTCCGACCGTCCTTTCCACTTCTTTGTAAAGTCGATCGATCGGCTTTCAAATTTTTTTGGGGTTCCCGGGAGTTGAAAAATAACAACTACATGTACATGTACCTTGATGGGCACGCGTGGCTCCAAATGTGGTGTGAACCGTTCATGTTTGATTATGCACGCATGCTCCAAATCCGGCGCATGCTCCATTCTCAGCATTTTCTTTCAGCTCCACACGTGGCGAAGGTTGCCGATTTGACCATGGCATCTCGTTTTGGTGATTCAAGTGAAGCAGAGAGAGATAAACTCTTGGAAGATGCTGTTCCGAAGTCTACTAAAGTGGCAACTGCAACGTGGGTGAAATTGTTCACGGAGTTTTCGTCAATTGATGTCAAGGCCTGCTCCTCAACCGATTTGGCAACTGAACTGGAGAAGTTTTACGCAGTTTTGAAGAAACGAGATGGCACTGTCTACAAAAGGAACAGCTACATCGCTTGTCGAGCAGCTCTACAACGGTATGTTTCTGAACTTGGCAGAACATTGAATATCTACACCGACAAGGAATTTACGCGTGCAAATGCTGTCCTGAATGCGGTTCTGAAGAAAAACAAAGCTGAGGGCAAAGAAGAGAGTGTGCTTCACAAGGATCCTTTGAGCGACCAAGATTGGGAGAAGGTCTCTGCATACTTTAGTAACGTTGAAGCTGAGGACGATCCTGTCAAGTTGTGCAGATTCGTCTGGTTTACAATCTCGTCCCATTTTTGCCTACGAGGTCGCGAAATTCAAGCGCAGTTGCAGAAGGATGACCTTGTGTTCCGAACCGATGAAGATGGCTGTGAGTACGTAATATTGTCTAAAGATTTTATGAGTAAGAACCATCAAGGTGGTCTGGCCGGATCCTCATTCGAGACTGCGGGCATAATCACGGATCGTCGGCAAGTAGCTGTCATCAAGCTGTACATTTCTCATCTGAACCCGTCCTGTCCACGTTTATTTCAGCGAGCCCAGCCTTTCAGTAAGTCTTCAACAGTGTGGTACATGAACATGCCACTGAGCCACAATCTGCTCGGTAAAATGATGGGTAAAATCAGTGAAGAAGCGAAACTGTCGAAGTCGTACACCAACCACTGCGTAAGGGCGAGCACAATATGCCGCATGAAGGCAGCAAATATGGATGATCGAAAAATCTGCGCAGTGTCTGGACACAAGAACGTCGCGAGTCTGCAGTCTTACGACCGGATTCACCACTCTGAAGCGGTTCAGATGAGCAAGGCGATCGACGGTAAGGGTGTTTGTGAATCTGCTCAAAGTGCTCCTTCTCATTCTGCTGTGTCTGCTTCTGTTGTTGCATCTGCTGATTCCGCTGAATCTGCTCCGTCTGATTCTGCTCCGTCTGATTCTTCTTCTTTTGCTGATGTGAAAAAGGGTCTTGTTTTGAAAGATTGTACGAATGTCACTTTCAATGTTGTCAACAACCACAATTCTTGGTTGCATCCACAGAAACGTACTTTTCCTTTCTCACTGAAATTGAACAAGAAGCCCAAAAAATGAAATTGTACCTTTTGCTAGCTTTTTGACGTTTTCTTATGGCTTGCCAGAATCTTTTCCTATTCTCTGTTTTGCTGCGTGCTTTCTGCTTGCTGACACAATACAGATTTTTGTGCTGTTGCGTTTGTGCTGTTGCGTTTGTGCCTGTGTGAGTCTTGCATGCGACTTCTTGATTCCTAAAAAGGAGTCAATATAAGGAGTCAATATAAGGAGTCAATAATGATTTCTAAGCGGTCAATATATGCTGATATTTGACCGCTTAGACATCACAAGTTTCTGTGGGGGTCAATAATAAGAGAGTGATAAACCGTAATATACGTAGTAGGACATCTACCAAAACTTTCCTGAAGTTTCACTTTGTGAATTGATTGTGCCTGTGTGTGGCATTGAGCACTTTACGCAAGGGTTTAGCAACATAGCTTGTGTTGAATTGATTGTGTGTATTGGTGCTGTTGGTGAAGGTACTAGTAGTTGTTTCTCTTGTTCAATGCAGGCTATCTTCGACGCCTTGGAGGCCATCTTTCCTAAGCATGGCACCAGCATCTATCTGGCAGTCAAGCAAATGGAATGTGTGCAGTGTGTGAAGGATGTCTTGAATTGCCGTGCTGGACTCGAGTTCCTGATCAGGAACTCCAGACAGTACTGCGGGCAGTTGGCCAAAGGTTAGCGGCATGGGAAATTTCATTTTTTATGATTTCCCAGCTAGGTCAGTAACCATGGGAATTTGGCTGTGATGTATATTACCATGGCAATGTTCGGATTTCCCTTTTTGATCACAGTTGCTTGGAAGCCAACGATGGTTTCTGGAAAACTTCTAATCATCATGGACATGTAAGCGATTTTGGAAGTTTGTGGTGTTTTCTGTGTGTGTGTGTGTGTGTGTGTGTGTGTGTGTGTGTTTCTGTGTGTGTGTGTGTGTGTGTGTGTGTGTGTGTGTGTGTGTGTGCGCGCGTGCGTGTGCATGCGTGTGTGTTTCCACTGCAGCACTGAACACACAGAATGTTCTTGTGAAAAAGCAAGTCCTGGAGCTGCTGGCGTGTTTATGTGTTTACAGCATCGACGGTTATGATATTGCTCTGGACACGCTAGAAGCCCATCAGGTTAGAGTCGGGATGAGAGTGAACTCGATGAAATGTCTTATCAATTCAGTGGTTGACAAAGTCGAGCATTGTGTCATGCTCGCCTTGACCTTGACCCCCCCCCCCCATAGGCAAACCATGTACTTCAAAATATTGTTATGTGAAAGGCTATGTTGACACTATCATCTGCCAGTATCCACCTGTTTTATTGTTGTACAGTGGTTGATTATCTTGATTGATTTCTCTTTGTTCTGACTCCAGGCACTTGTTGGCAATCGCAATCGCTTTGAGTCGCTCATCACTGAGCTGGAGCATAGCGAGATTGAACCCTACACCGCTGTTGTTGTGCTACTTGTCAATTGCATCATCAACACCGAAGATGAACTAGAGGATCGTCTCGAGCTCCGCGATGAGTTTATAGGTACTGGAAACTTATCGTATAATTATGTGCTTTGACGTTGTGTGGGCATAATGTAATTTTCTTCTCCACACTCCCTGTATGTGTGGGTGGCATTGATGGGTTCAAGGGATGAAATAATTCTGTCCACAGACTATATCTAATGTGTCTTTTTTCCTGTATTCATGGCAGTAGAAGTGGTGATGCTGTGGCTAAACTAGCAGCTACATATTTTAGGCTAAGGCCTGTGGAGAATCCATAAATACAAAATACAAGGTGCTGTAGAGATTATTCCAAAGAGGTCATCATGCTCGATCGCTTATACTTTGTATGGCGTGAAAACCAGTGCTGGTAGTTACTGAAATTTGAATGTCGAAGTATTGTGTGGTGTGCGAACCATACAGACCTGGCTATTTGGGTGGAAAACCAGCGCCTGTGCCTATGCTTAGACACTCCATGCAAACTATTTCAAAAACAATCATGGTTAGTGAGACTTGACTGGAGGCCGAGCCGCATTCGTAGGAACGCCACCACCCTCTACCGATCTCTCAGTATTTCAAATGATGATATGGACACATACTCTCTAGCCTTTGGAAAAATGACATCGACCTCTATTGAAGCAGTAACTGTTGTAAATTTCTGTGATCTTGTTTTCTTTGCATGTGATTGCTATGGGTGAACTGGTGTCGTCTTGAAGGACTGGGACTCTTGAAAGTGCTGCAGCCATTGAGGTAAGTTGGCAAGTTCCAAGTTATGCTCCATTCTGTACTGTGGCATTCATCACCATTCCACCATTGAAGACTGCAGTAATATTCGGACTCCGTTATGCGTACACTACTACTGTACACTTATGACTGTATGCGTTGCATGCTGTATGTAAGTCACGCAGGCCGTTTCCCGTAGGACAGAACTTTTGATGTGCTGCTCTCACTGGCCCGGGACTCCTCTTGTGTTTGGCTCTCCTGCTGGTTGTGCATTTCTTGCTCCTCATTAGTTTACTCTTCTATGTCTCATTGTCCAAACTGTATTGAGAATACTACTACAAAAGGCTAGTTTACTGGTATTCAGCAAGGTTCATTGTTCTGTGTCTGTGGTATGGTGAAATTTGATTTCAAGTACCCCGGAGATCATAATATCATAGCACAACAGCATGTTTATTTTCATTTTCTCTTGCTTCACGAGCACTAGGGAGACATCTCTCTATGCAGGTGGTACAGAATATTGAATGTTGAATGCGAGGCTCCGACATACAGTGCAGACACACAGAGTACTCACTCGATACTAAATGTATTGATGCACTTGTATACGATTTCCGCAAGTGCTCATTAGACCTACAGTCGAATGTCACTTATCCGGTCGCCAGTTATCCGAGCACGTCGGTTATCCGACAAGCCCGGGAGTGGTAATTTTATGACTCTCAACAGTAAAATTCTAAAAAATTAACCTTTTTTTGTTGTGTATTATACGGTGTGATATGCATTTACTTAAAGTAGATGTGGTCAAGTATGCTACCATATATGTGTACATGGAGCAATTCATGAATATGCATGAATATACAGTGGTCCCTCTATAATCCGGCACCATTTGTGCCACGGAAATCTGCTGGATTAGGGAGGGTGCTGGATTAACAAATCTGATCTACTGCTGCAATGTGCATGAAGAGGACATTTGGCTACTGAAAATTGTGCTGGTTTATCGAGGGTGCTGGATTATGAAGTGCCGGATTAGAGAGGGACGACTGTAGTTGGGTATTGTGTACATAAATCAGTGAAATCCAGCCATATATGCACATAAAAATGATATCAGTTATCCAACGTATCCAGTTATCCAACATGCCCGATTCCCGAAGTGGTCGGATAAGTGACATTCGACTGTATTTTGATAATGTCCTTGGCAAAGCTGGAGTAATTAGCACAGTTAAGTGCCAGATTTAAATAATGTATTTTCGTTCGTCTCCATTTGACTTTCAGATTCTCAGCCGACGAGGAAATCCTGACGCAACTGGACATTTTTGAGAAGGAGCGCGCAGAAGACCACGACCGTCTCGTCACACCGGAGGGCATTGACTTATCAAATCCTACACATGTGTTTCGATTCGTCAAGAACCAGGTGAGAAAGAACTGTGACCAAGGCGCAGGACAGCATAGATTATCTTCAATGTAATTTGTTAGGAGACGAAAATCGGACTTACCCAGCTTTTTTAAATAGAGAAATGGTGGTGAAAACACGCCTGGAGAATGACGATACATACCTGCTCACACAATCTTCTCAAAGCTGCAAAGCTCTGGCAGAGAGCGCTCGTCTTCTTCATTCTGCCAGGTGTGTGTTTCTAACACAATTTCCCTACTGTACCCTAAAAAGATACGTATCTCATGAAAAACCCTACACACACCATCCTTAAAGCCAGAGTTAGCAAATTGGGAGCAACCCACCAAATCCTGAGCTTTCTCCCTGTACACCATACAATGTAGCATCTCTAAAATTGACTCGGACTGCTAAACATAACCACCGCCATATTCCCAAATGTGCAACACATCAAATTTTGATTATTATTTGTATCCCTGGCTAAATGACCTCACTGAACTAGAAATGCTTAACAAGTACTGTAAATATACAAATTTTCGGCAGCTATTTAATTTCGGCTATATTCGGCACCGACCCAAAACGCCTAAATTAAAACGCCGATGAAATTTTTCACAGTATCTGTCGCACTATACCATGCCCTCTACCCCACGCCGAAAATAAATCGCCGCCGAAATGTCAGAGATCGTGAAGTGCCGAAATTTTGCAGCGCCGAAATTTTGTTTATTTACAAAACGGTGACGCCCTGTCTTTAGTGACCAGTCCACGGCTTACAGGAAACTGATCATCATGAACAAGGTATCTTTGGAAATAGGAAAATATATAGCGAGACTCGGTTTGTGGCCTGGGACGATGTTTGGGGACAGAAGTTTGTTATTCTCTTATGGTACTTGCTCATTTAAAATTCAACACAGTTTCACTGCTCTGCTTGGTGACTGCGGTAGGTGAATGCTACAGCGCAGGAGAGCTACTTCCTTAGTATGCTCCAGCAGTTACTGGTGCTAGGGGACCAACGCAATGCAGAAGACAGCAAGGAACTAAGCAGTGCCGAGGAACAGTTCCTGAACGCCAAGTGGGAGATTGCCAGCCGTATGCTGCAGCGCATTGTGCAAGCGCAGAGTGTTGCCGACCTGGACGATTCTTGTCGTTTGACCGTCGGTCAGATGAAAGATGCCATTGAAAATGTGGTAAGGCAAAAACCAGTGACTTCAAATCTCCCTAGACATTCTTCTTCCATGACTGCACGATATCATTACACCGAGTTTATTCTTATGAGTAGCTATCGGCATCAGTTTAGTTTGGCATCAGTAGCTCTATCCTGATACTGCCACGCCGGTATTTCATGATTACAGTGAAACCTCGTTAGGAAGAACACTGATAAGACAAATGTTTGCCTAAGAAGAACTAGTATTCGTAACTGTATTCGATAAAACCCTATGTATTCACTGGGTAAGACATTATGGATAAGAAGAACTCCCGTTATTGCGAACAAATATCATCGGTCCCTTGATGTTCGTCCTAAAGATGTTTGACTGTATTTTCATTACTACCGAGCCCAGATGATCTTTTCTAAATTCCAATGGACAAATCCGTGAGCTGCAGATGAAAATTGAGACCAGCAAATGTACCACCATTAACAATAGATGAGGAGAAGAGATGGTGAAGATCTAATACTTAATATCTCACTCTGAATCAAAATGTAACAGTATTTTGAATTGCTTCAAAAAGTGTGTGTATTATGCATGTGTGTGTGTGTGTGTGTGTGTGTGTGTGTGTGTGTGTGTGTGTGTGTGTGTGTGTGCGTGTGCATGCGTGTGTGTGTGTGTGTATGGGTGTGCGTGTCTGTGTCTGTGTGCGCTTGTTTTGCAACATTTTACCATTTAGATGAAGCATGTGAAGGAAGGAGAGAAGGCAGACTCAGCTGCTTCTAAGGGACAGCCTGCAGCAAAGGGAAGTCCGAAGACAATTGGCCGAAGGCTGCAGAAGCGCATGTCAACAAGAAGAGCCATGCGATCAATGGAAAGGAGCGCATCTGTCATGCTTTCCACGGATGAGGAGAGCGATGAAGAATTTGAGGATGCAATGGATGATATATCCAATGTCACTGTGAGCATTCCATCCACCAAACCATCGTCCTCTTCTTCAGTCATTGAAGCTGATAATGATGAGTCCAAAGTGGAACAAATCATTGGAAGTGTATTGGCCAGTGACACTGCAGACCATGCTGTCACCATTGATCAGACAGTGGAAGCAAAGGCCGATGATGCCGGCGAGGAAAGTTCGGTGAAGCCATCAGAGGAGGTAGCAGAGCAGAGTGAGTGCACGGCCCAGTCCAGTCCTCCAGAGAGTGAGCCTCCGCCTACCCCCGGTGCTGCTCTACTTGAGAAGTCTGAAGAGGCAACAAACACGTCATCACCGCCACTGATCAATGTCGAGGTCACAATGGGTACTGATCAAGAAAGTGAAGTGAAGGCTGACCATGCATCCTTGTTACCAAATGAGGTTCAGTCTCCACAGCCACCAGCTGCATCACCGCCTCCTCCATGTACTGCTTCTGATAAAGTCACACCACCGCCTGCGCCTCCCATGCCCGGAATGGGTGGTCCACCTCCGCCCCCACCCATGCCCGGAATGGGCGGTCCACCTCCGCCCCCACCCATGCCCGGAATGGGTGGTCCACCTCCGCCCCCACCCATGCCCGGAATGGGTGGTCCACCTCCGCCTCCACCCATGTCCGGAATGGGCGGGCCACCCCCGCCCCCACCCATGCCCGGAATGGGTGGTCCACCTCCGCCCCCACCCATGCCCGGAATGGGTGGCCCACCTCCGCCCCCACCCATGGCTGGTATTGGGGGTCCACCTGGGCCACCCCCTCCACCAGGTGCTGGTGGTCCTCCACCACCAGGCTTCTCGATGGCTGCGTTTGGTATGATGGCTAACGTTGTGACGACTCCCGCAGGCCGGAAACCAGCCACTAAGCTGAAGAAGCTCAACTGGAGCAAATTGTCTGCAAACAAGGTAAGAAAATTTCCAAGAATGCCATGGGTAGTGTAGGTTTTATTTCTTTATTTTGTGTCTTGATGACCTACAATCATCTACTGCACCGTCGACCAATAGCACTTTGCAAGGGTTGAAAGTGACAGCACTCTTGTTCATGTCACAGGCCTCGAGTTTTGTGGAGGAACGAGCACTGAAAAGGGAAGTACAGCTTTGTTGAGGGCTCAAATAGTCAAAGCTGCCCTTTTCTGTTTCTCACTGGATATCGTGTCATTTGTACGTATGGCTGGTTTTGTAACAGACTCACCAGCCACAAGCTGAAACAATTTGGAAGAAGAAAATTGACTTAGTAGACCTGAAGGATGACCACTACAAGGCGATTGAAGTTCTTTTCTCGGCAAAGCCGCCAGCAGCTAGCGGTGGAGCACAGAAAAAGACTGAGGAAAAGAAACCGAAAACGGTAAGAGGTGCCACAAACTCACGAACAGTAATAATTATTGTGTGCATGGATGTGTCGGCTTTTGTTCATACTTTTTGTGCTAATGACAATGCATCACTGGATTGAACTGTTGATTACTGCAAATAACAAAGGAACCATGGAGAACATCCAAACGGTGCTGTATCCAGCACTCCTCAACTCACAACAGTCATTAATTTTGATATTGATATTTGCTATGTATAGGTGTCTCTGGTGGACGGAAAGACGGCTCTGCAAGTTGGAATTTTTGCACGCCAGTTCAAAAGGTTTGCTTTCTCTCGATCCATCCATCCATCCATCCATCCATTATAGTTACACTATGTTGACTCTAAACCCAGAATTTGCTCAGCGCCTGTAGCGGCAGAGAGTTTCACACAAGAATAGGAACCGCTTTTGGATAATTGGCAATGCAACAGAAAGCTTCACACATACTGATAGCAATCTCAAGGAGTTGTGACTTTCTGTTTCCTCCCTAAAATGAATGGACATTTTATTATGATAATGTACATCACGTGCCCCTTTATTGAATTTCAATCCCTCCGCTTGATCGTCTGTAGTCCATGTGGCTTTGTATATGCCTCACTGTTATTTTTCTTTTGTCATGTTTATATTGTACGGTGTGTAGTCCAATGCCAGAAGTCATCAGCTGGATTGAGCTGTTGAAGGTAGACAAACTGGAGGTGGATCAGCTGAAAGGATTGGAGAGAGTTTTGCCTGATGAGTCTACGGTATGTGCGTGATGCTAAGGTTGATTTCAATTCTGTACCAGAAATGCTCTAGAAAATGGCTGAGACCGGCATGCTGACAGGATAAATGAGAACAGTATGGGGGTGAGTGCATCGTTTACATTGACATAGACTCCTGGGCTTTGGCCGAATTTAATTACAAATTCATTGAAGGTTGTTGACCAACTGAGTTGCAGCAATATTCAAATCACTTGTATGGCATGCTGGCTGCATTGATGAAGAACAAAGTACTGGAAATTAGCCTAATTAGGGATTTTGTTAGGACTTGAATGGATCTGCTTTCTCGAGTCTTGCAGACATCTCGCTCAGTCGCTAAATGCAAATCACTCATGTATGTCTCCTGTCTGTGTTGCAGCTTGATTCAATCCGTACGTATCCCGGAGATCAGACCAAGCTGGGGGAAGCTGAACACCTCTTCTTAGCCATGGACAAGGTTCAAAGGTATAGGGTGGAATTCAGGTGTCGTAAATGTGCATATGGGCAATTTTCTGCCCCTTTCCAGACCTTTGCCAGCTCTTTCTGTTCGTTATATGGATACCAGTATGATATCTGGGAGCCTGAATATCGCCTATTCAATGTTACGCCATTTTATAAATAATGTTGAAACACGTTGTTTGGATCCAGCAATACCAAAGAGAACATGCAACCCACAAGCAAACACAGGCTTTTGGAAGGTGTGAACTGTGATTTCCAATTGATGGCAGTGCTTTCTATGCAGGCCTGCCTTACTTATGTCACACATGTGGCATTGGTGGCCTGTGGCTGCATGTGAGCTATCAATACACTTTGCACAGCTGTGACGAGGACTATATGTGAGGCGATAGTTACGGAACTGCCATTTGGACACACATTTCATGTTGATTACATGTATTGGACTGGACTGGACTGGTGTGCGGAGTATCAATTAGTGTATTTGTCGATGCTCTGATATTCCCTGCATGCAGCATCGGCCTTCGAGTTGAGATCATGATTCTGCAACATGAGTTCAAGGAGGGAATCGACTTCTTGAAGCCAGAAATACACACTCTCCTCACCTCTATGAAAGGTAAGGTTGCTCAAGTCATGGACAGAGGAAATGTTCTGAAAATAATTTTTGACCACAGCATTTTCATTGAATTGTCAAGTATTACTTCCTCCGCGTCATTAAAATTGTCGCTTCCCAGAGCGATTTTTCGAAAATTATTTTGTCCACTCGAAGGGCACAGAAATCAGCTAGAAATTGAGGCAGAGCATTGTCGACGGGCCAAGCTTTAGTTTGTGACCCCCGCTTCGCTGCACTTGCAGCTAAGGTCGACATCTTCATCAGAGTTTGAGGCAGACCCTTCGGCACTCAACAAGACGCTGAACAAGACGCGCGTTCAAATTCAGGTCAAGAAACTTCGTTTTCAGGCGATCCATGCCTCCAGGTGCCAGGCGATGAAGGCAAGCTAGCATTTTTCAAGTACACTGTAACGACATTCCAGCGGGACAGGGTAAGCAGTTCCGCACCTTCTTTCCTTGGCAAGCGCTTCGCTGATTTTGTTGGTGTTTTCAGACCTGTTACCTTCGCAGCCACATGCGCCACAAGTAGCCCATTTTAGGAATTTGAGACCACTTTGTTCTTGCCATCGCCAACTTCAGCAGTTCGTATTCAGGAGAGATACCAGGATTCTTATACCCGAGCTTGCAGTCTTGACAAATGCCCACGCGAACGATGTGGGACGGCACGAACTCCAGAAAACGAAATGCGCTCTGGGGCGGAATAGTGCGGAGCGCGATGAATTTGCTTGGTGCGGAAGAGAGCTCCGACAAAGTTCGAGACCACCACGGCTTCAGTGACAAGTAGACATTGGGCAGGAAGGGTAACACCAGTGTTCGAACACAGAAAACAGCGATTCCGACAGTCTGACTAAGACGAGCCAAGTCACAAATATTGCGATGTGCGAAGCGACAATTTTAATGACGCGGAGGAAGTAGATGAAATGTTCAGTGAAATAATGGCGTAAGGTTGTGATAGACTGTACTTTAGGGGTAGTCGCAAACCTTTTTCTGTCGTCCCTGAAACGAGCATCATTCGTTTGGGAGGGGGGGGGGTGCGAGCCAAAATCGCAAGTCGACCGACACGGTACATATGACATGTACATGCATGCGATTTTCGTCCTCCAGCATAGCAAGTTGTGTTCGTTTCAGAGGTAGGGGACGGGTCCGAGTACGAAATGAACGATATTCGTTTCAGGGACGACAAAAAGCCAAAATGGCAAGTCGACCGACACTGTACATAGAGTGAAACCTGTTTAAGGCGACCCCTCAAGGGACGAGAAAAAGTGGTCGCCGTGGCCAAGTGGTCTTCTTATCCAGGTTCAGTGGGTCACGTGACCATATCCACACGTCATACATCATTTTGATCAGTGCATCATCGTGCACACACCTATGCTGCTCTAGCACGACTCATGTGCCTGGGGTCCTCAGACCTGTCAAATGTCGTGCATGCACCATTTACATCTACGCTTCCTGCACTGATGTGTAGATCTACCATGCCTGGTGCACCATGCAATGCGTACATTTACATGACTAGCACTAGTGCACTGTGCAGTGCGGTCGCGGGTGGGTGGTCGTCGGTCGCGTTGAGCGAGTGGTCGCCTTATCCGAGGTGTTTTGAACGTGAATGCGTCCGTGACAAGGAAAAGTGGTCGCTATGGTCGAGTGGTCGCCATATCCGAGTGGTCGCCATGGTCGCCATGGTCGAGTGGTCGCCATTACAGGTTTTACTGTATGACATGTACATGCATGCGATTTTCGTCGTCCAGCATAGCAAGTTGTGTTCGTTTCAGAGGGAGGAGAGGGGCCCGAGTACGAAATGAACGATGTTCGTTTCAGGGACGACAAAAAACTTTTTGCGACGAGCCGGCCTTAGTCACTGCAAAGACATAGCAGTACTTGATAATTGTGTCACTCTCCACTTGAACGATATGTGTGCAGACGTAAATTCAGATAGGATTAGTTTAGCACGTCGTGACTGCTAACATGTTGTGTCCTTGCTAACGGTGTGCTTTGTTGACAGAGCTGCTGGCATCAGAGTGCTTGCAGAAGCTGTTTCATTTGCTGTTACTGCTTGGTAACTTCCTCAACCATGTAAGTTATCTGAAATACAATGTTTGCAGCTATTACAGTAAAACTCCACCTAATCCGCGCAGGTTGGGACCAAACACTGCCCGTAACTGGGAATTTCCCGCAACTCGGAACATACATGTACATGCCTACTGCATGCACGTAAACATTTTTGTGTCAATCAATAGTCTGTGGGGTCGTTTTTAGTTGAATTTTTGTAACTCTGGACTCTATATAGGTCAGTAAGGTGCCCGGTACATGGCCGTGCCTGGTACATGGCCGTGCCCGGTACATGGCCGTGCCCGGTACATGGCCGTGCCCGGTACATGGCCGTGCCCGGTACATGGCCGTGCCCGGTACATGGCCGTGCCCGGTACATGGCCGTGCCCGGTACATGGCTGTGCCCGGTACATGGCCGTGCCCGGTACATGGCCGTGCCCGGTACATGGCCGTGCCCGGTTTATGAGCATCCGGATTAGAGGGGTTTTACAGTAACTTTAGTTAGATTTCACAGATGCTCACAGAATGACAACATTTTGGAATTTGTTCTCAAAGTCCCAGCTTGCCCACCGTACAAACGGTTTTGCATACAAAATCACTCGGTTTGTAGTATGTTTTCCCCCCAAATGACCTGGTTTTCAAACCCCACGATACTGTGTTGCTTCAGCTTGTGATAGCACATGCAGATCACTTGTCGTCAAACTTTCCATAGACATAATTCCAATAATTCATCATGATACAATACTGCACTTTAGTACAAGTAGGACTAAGACGTGATATTCACCCTCCACCAGAAGCAATCAGCCGAGTGTGGACTGTTATATTCAAATTTGTAAGTGTTGGTGCTGAAATGTTAGGGCAACCCTGAATTAGGCATGTTTGTACCATGTATTTGAACTGTCCGCAACTATGTGTGTTGGATATTAGATAGTGCCAATGCCTTTGTCCCTGATATTTTTTACTGCAGGGTACATTCTCTGCTAACGCTAGTGGATTCAAGACTGAGAGTGTTTTGAAGTTTGATGACACACGTTCCAACAAGCCACGTGTCACGTTTGTCCACTTTCTTGCCGAGGTTAGTAATGTTGTGCACTGTATTGTCCTTCTCCGAAGTGGTACCTTGAGTAGGACTACAGTAAATGCTAATTTCGACTTGTAATCCACTGTTTGAACCAACACCTAGTCGTGTTGTGCGCTGTACTGTCCTTCTCCGAAGTGTCATCTTGAGTAGGACTACAGTAGAATAATAATACTTTCTACTTGTACTCAACTGTGTGAGTAAACACCTAGTCATGTTGTGCGCTGTACTGTCCTTCTCCAAAGTGTTACCTTGTGCAGGACCACAGTAAATACTACTTGTGCTCCACTGTGTGGATCACCACCTAGCCATGTTGTGCACCTTTTTATCCTTCTCCCAAGTGTTGCCTTGTGTAAGATTCAGCTTTCTATATACCCCACTGTCACATTGTGTGGATCAAAAGCTTTAGTTGTCATCCACCATGAAACATATGTAGAGCAACATTAATGAGCACATTAACCATTCGAATTGTGCGTTGTCTTATCATGTCCATCGGTCACTGTCTTTACTGATTTAATGACTGCCATATTCAGCATGCTGAGGAAAACTGCAAGGAACTGCTGCAGGTGTTCGATGAAGTTCCAAGCCTGGCCAAGGCATCCAAGTAAGTGTAAACATGGTGTCTGCTGGTTTCACTATGAGCAGTGTAACAGTGCAACAGAAGCCTTCTTCATCTTTTATTGAGAGTCTAGCCCGATGTGGATAGGCGAGAAGGCAGAAATGCAAACAAGTCTGACATAATTGCATCAAGCACAGGTTGTTGGTTGCTGAGTTCTATTTCTAGACATATTCACCATTCCGGGGCTATTCTTGCCATCCTTAAGCGGTCAGATGTGAAGCATGTACCATATTGATACGTTGTGTCTTCTTCCCTCACCGTATCTCATTTCCAAGAAATCATGCACTCCAGCACAGCTATGGGTATGTACGCTCTACTCACTCTGTGGCTGTTGAGACTGAGAATCTTTTCTCCTGACCATATTATCGCTGCAAAACAAGATGACGTTGTGTTGCTTGCATTTCCTTGTCTCATTGTTTGCTAGATTGTCATTTGACCACTTGAATGGGAAAGTTAAGCAGTTGGAAAGCAAAATCAAGAAGCTGGGCAAGACGCTGGAGAAGC